TGTATCATCTGTAATTGTAAATGCATTCTTAAGCAATCGTGCCATTTGACATCTTGTAGTGTTTGTCTCTATCAGGGATCACGACATGATACAATTGGTTTAGAGGTAGAATAGCCTTATAGAATAGGTTCTACTTTCAAGTTAACTTATTGCCATTGTTGTCCTTTACATTATACCACACTATTGACAAATTTGCTTTGAACACATAGGGGCTAAATTATAGGTGTGAACATCAATACCACCTTGTGCTAGTCCACTGATGCCAAATTTGGTGAGTGCCTACTATCTATTAAAGCTAATGGTGCATAATGTTAATGCATCTTGCTAACCTTAATCAGCTATGGGATTTCTTGTATAATGGTCCTAACGGGGACGTTACCATTTGAATGAGGGAGATTGTGATGCTCTGATAATTGCAAACTGATACAAGAGAAAACAAAAAGTTTTAAAGAGGCATATGGTTGGCAACCTAGGTTAATAATGTTTGGTTCATTTCAGTAGGCCTACCCCATGTAAGGTATTTAGATAGTAGGCTGTTTAGGTTTGTTATACATGTTATGCAAGTGGTAGATATGGGGCTTGTAGTGCCTGAAATTTCCTTTTACTAGAGTTTAAATTATGGGCATTGTGATCTAATCTACATGGGCAAAGGAGTATAGTGTGATACCCTAACAATCCATCATCAGAGATGCAAAAGAGAGGGATTTGTGCAACTCAAGTTTACCACAACTAGAAAATTGTATCAGAATTTTGCGGCACATAGTGGCAGCTCGAAATTGTTATATGTTATTGACAATTTAGGATAGTAGTTGATTGTATTGATCCCTTTGTGTGATATCTCAACTAAGAGGAGCTTACAAAGATGCACCGACACATCTCCAACTAACTAGCTTGTCTAGAGGAGCTACCTAAAAGAACCTCAAGTCCAATTAAATAGTAGTTCATTATACTAGTTGAAAATTGTAAGCTGAAATCCTTTCTATATTTCTTGTTCCTCCAGTCATGTTGCCTTTTCCTGATAAGATCATTTTCTTGGGTTTCCATTTCCTTATGTATCATTTTGTTTCATCATCTTTTTTTTTTCTTTCTATTTCATACCATGTTCCTTAAATCTGAAGTTCTATTTGGGAATAGACAAATTGTCCAATTGTGTTGCTTTTGCTAGTTGAACCATATCATGTTAAAACAATCATATTAGAGCAGCTGCTGATTGTCATTGTTTAATGCATGGAAATATTATGGTTGTGAATAATGATTTCAATAAATTCTAGCTTCTCATGTAAAATGTTTTAGCAATTTTTGTTCATGAAATGTGTATTATCAGTTGTCTTGCTGTTTCCTTCTCAGGGCTCACGTGCAACAAGGACATACTTGACTGGACCAGGGAACTCCAAGGATCTAGTGGCTCACTACTCTGGCCTTGAAGTTTCAGAGGATGATTTTATTGCTGCCGAATTATCTATTCATCCAAGGCATCTGAAGCAAATGAAGCCGCATCAGCTAGAAGGCTTCAATTTCTTGGTTAAGAACTTGGTTACAGATAAACCAGGAGGATGTATTTTGGCTCATGCGCCGGGGTCTGGGAAAACCTTCATGCTTATAAGCTTCATCCAGAGTTTCTTGGCTAAGTATCCATTGAAGAAGCCTTTGGTTATCCTTCCTAAGGGTATTTTGCCTACATGGAAGAAAGAGTTCCAACGGTGGCAGGTTGAGGATTTACCCATCTATGATTTCTACTCCTCTAAAGCTGATAACAGATCTCAGCAATTGGAAGTGTTAAAGCTTTGGCAAGAGAATAAAAGCATTCTTTTTTTGGGTTATAAACAATTTACGAATATCATTTATGATAAAGAAAACAGCAAGGTCTCTGCTGCATGTCGGGAAATGCTGCTGAAAATCCCCAGCCTTCTGATATTGGATGAAGGCCACACTCCAAGAAATGAGGACACATTCGTGCTTGATTCACTTGCAAAGGTGCAGACTCCTCGAAAAGTAGTACTTTCAGGAACCCTATTTCAGAATCATGTTAGGGAGGTCTTCAATATTTTGAATCTTGTGCGCCCTAAGTTTTTGAGGATGGAGACTTCCCGAGTCATTGTCAAGCGAGTCCTAAGTAGAATATATATATCAGGAGGTAGAAAACTCTCTAAGAGTAGTGTGGACAACGCTTTCTATGATTTGGTTGAGGAAACACTGCAGCATGATGAGAATTTCAAAAGAAAAGTTACTGTTATACGAGACCTTCGAGAATTAACCAAGGACGTTCTTCATTATTATAAGGGTGATTTCTTGGAAGAGCTGCCTGGTCTCGTGGATTTCACTGTCCTCTTGAACCTCAGTGCTAAGCAAAGAGTGTATGTTCAAAAACTTGCCAAGTTTGAGAAGTTCAAAAGAACCTCTATGGGTAGTGCTGTCTATATCCATCCTCACTTGTATGACACAGCAGAAAAGGCTTCTGGGGACAGGGTCGCATTTTTCAACGATGATAAGATCGATAGCTTGTTAGAATCTCTTAATATCAGAGATGGGGTTAAAACAAAATTTTTCCTCAACATTTTGTCTCTGGCTGAATCTGCTGGAGAGAAACTACTTGCTTTCAGTCAATACATTCTACCTCTAAAATTTTTGGAAAGGCTAATAGTTAAAACCAAGGGTTGGCATTTAGGAAAAGAAATTTTTATGATATCTGGTGATTCGACTTCTGAGCAAAGAGAGTGGTCGATGGAGCAATTTAACAACTCCCCTGATGCTAAGGTTTTCTTTGGTTCAATCAAGGCTTGTGGGGAAGGCATCTCACTTGTAGGTGCATCTAGAGTTGTGATCTTGGATGTTCACTTTAATCCATCTGTCACCCGCCAAGCTATTGGGCGTGCATTTCGGCCTGGCCAGCTGAAGAAAGTATATATTTACAGGTTAGTTGCAGCTGATTCTCCGGAGGAGGAATTTCATTATACCTCCTTTAGCAAGGAGTTCATCTCAAAGATGTGGTTCGAGTGGAGTGAGTATTGTGGCCATCAGAACTTTGAGTTAGACGAGGTTGATTTGGCTAGCTGTGAAGATTTGTTCTTGGAAAGTCCTATCATAGGAGAAGATATCAAGGCGGTGTACAGAAGGTTAGTTCCCGTACTTGGTCTACGTCTGAGTTATATTTTTTACTGCATTCAAATGCAATTTTTGCATGTTGTTGATTGACGTTGATACGATAATACAGGTGATTCTTTGGCTGATGCGTGGGAGAGCATACGACAGATTGTAGGATCTTCAGATGGTCTGACATTGTACATCATACCAACTCTAATTTTCTGACCTTGCAGTCTTTTTCTATAATGCACAATTTTCATATCTAGAAGTGATAAATCATGTTCTTCCCATGTTCAGGTCTTCATGGTACTTGCTGGTCACATTATGAACTCTCCCTTTTCAAGATACATGTAAAAGTTTGACTTGTTGGCTGTTTGAATCGACTGCAAAGCTACTAGAGAGATGATCGTTGCTGGCGTTCTACTTCTCTTGATGATGTGTAAAAAAGATGTGTTCATGGTTGCTGATATCTGTTTTGTTCTTGTTGGTGACTGTTTGTCATCGAGATGCATTAATACTATCTACCATTTTGTTGAGTGTGCTGTTGAGCTCGCACTGTAGATGTTTTGGGATCAATAGCCCCTCTAAATGCAAGACGTGTATATAAAATGACTTGTCAATGGCTAATGCCAAATATTTTGATACAATATCGCCATCTACAAGTTAATACTGTCTGATGTTAAGTCGAATATATATATCCTTTTGGTCTACAGCTGTTGCTTATACCCTGCCGTGTTGCCATCATCTCCCCATTTCTTGGTGTTCCGTCCTGTGAGTGTTGTAGCAGAGACTTGAAACTCGTTCATCGAAAGAATGCGTCTATCCTCGTTTCATGGCGAAGGTGAAACATTTTTATTTGGTTTAATGTTATTTATTTAAGTTTATATTTTTCTTATTTACACAAGCACTTCGTAATCTAAGTTTGGGTATATCTTGAATTAATTTATAAATTATCTCCTGTAGTTAATTATTTTTAATATTTCAGTTTCATTGATATTTTTATTATTATGAAAGTAAAACATCTAGATTTATTTATTTTAATATTATTAATTTTATGAATAAAAAAATATAAAAATAAAGTTTAAAAATATAATTTTAATGTTTCAGTTAATGATGGTGGACGATAGATAGTATTGGTGAGAGTCGTGGGTAATTGTCGTGGATGAGGAAAGCGACAACGAAAGATGAATATCGTTTTGCATTTACGTCAATATTGACATAATTATCGATTGACGAAAGGGTTGCTCAGTAACTATGTCAACATCGACGTAGATATAAAACGACTATCAACTCTTCTCATCCACAACAACCATCGATATAAAGCGCCTATCGAGTGATGTCGTCATTTGCTACCATCGATATTGTCCGTTGCCACCAATTAGAATGTTAAAATTATTTTTTATTTTATATTTTATATTTTTAATAATAAAATCGATATTGTTAAAATAAATAAATTTAAATATTTTATTTTTATAACTATAGAGATCTCAATATAATTTTTTTAAATATAAGACTTGAAATATTAAAAACAATCAACTACATATAAGACTTGAAATATTAAAAACAATCAACTACATATAAGACTTGAAATATTAAAAACAATCAACTACATACCTCATTATAAGCCCTTTGACATGACGACAGACAAAGCATCTTTACTTGGTAAGTTTATACATTTTTGATTATCAACTGCGAGATGGACATAATTTTTAAGATCTTGGTAGGCTAATCATCTTCTTCTTTCTAATTCCCGAATCACCCCTGGTAGAATCTCCAAGCCTACAGCTTGTGAGATGTTAGAGAGAACCTGTGATTAAGAATTCCTATAATAAGCTAAAAAATGACGTATATATAATAATAAGATAAAATTTTTTAGTGTTTGTTATTTATTTTTTACATGGCTTGATGAGAGGTACTAATACGAAAATAGAATGTTGCTATATAAAATTGCCAACGTGCTCGATAGCTTACAATAAGTTCTCTTCCTGGAGGTTCAAACATTTTCCTTCCTGGAAACAGAACTCTTGCATGTCATTTCACTTCTTGAAAATAAGAATAAGAACAGGGCCAGTTGGTCGATTAAGCATTTCCAATTTAAAGCTTGCCCAGGATTCAACGGGCAGACCAGATGCAAAACCTTGGATGCTCTCCAGTTCATCCCTGCATAATGAAATATAAACAACATCATAAAGCATCTGAATTCATTCGTTAATGCATGCTATAGTTCATCGTGTTGTTTGGTTGTATACACTCAAGCTACTAAAGAGCTAAAGCAACAACAAAGTTCAATATGAGAGGGAGTAACTAGTGACTGAAACTAGGAAAATAACTACGCCTTGGAAAGTAGGAACCTCCATAAGGTTATGCATTAACATTAAAAGAAAGGAGGACACACGATATTGTAAATGATGAATCACACACTGTGCCTTCATCACGAAGTTTGCAGGCTGTACTTGAAGGTAATCATATATACCTAAAAGATGAGACTCTGCTCTTTGAATTGTGAATTACGACAAAATTCAGAATGTTAGGTTGCTCAGGCTGCAGAAAAATCAAAAGTAAAACATTTACCTTCCGCCTGGATGTCCAACATAGACCATGACGCTGATAAGTCCTCCAGACCCCAGTACCCTACCAGCAGCCTGCAATGCTGCCAGCGTTGTTCCTGGCGTTGTAAGAATTGCTTTGTCTCCCCCTGGCAGATAGCCCAAATTGAATACCACAAGTCTGAATTGTAACAAGCAGAAATTCTTGTGAACAATAAACGGATGTAAAACCAGGAGGTTACTTCAGCAAAAAAGAAAGTTTAAGCAAAATTAAAACAAAAAAATAATATTTCCTAAAACACAAAACAAGAGTGATCTAAAATAAAATGTCTTAGTGATGCTGCCTGGCTTAAGCATATACCAATTCTTTTTCATGTACCCCAAATTATATCCTTGGTAGCTCACTTTATGTTCTTATAGAAAAATTAAACTTTTTCGGAATGGCAGGGTCCAGATTCCAGAATTCAACATTAAGATTTTACTTGCTCGAAACTAACATACAATAAATACTCTGGAACCTGTTCCCGATATAGTTAGAAATAAATTAATCTGATAACATGGATTAAGATCAGCAACTTAATGTGTGAGAATAATAAGCTCAGTTTGAAAATGTAATCACACTTTTAGTAGCACTCTTAGTCATTTGAGACAAGATCCCTTAATAAAAGCTCTTGCTCTAAATTGTAGCTAAATTGATCATGGACCAAAGGGAGTCTTCCATAATTCCAACTTGCAGCAAAGTCAGGCAGTTTCAGCCTTTCTTGAGTAGCTGGCCCGAAATGGGTTCTACCAAAATCCCTTCACACATTGGGAACATCAAACAACTTGAACCAATCAAAATCTATTCTTGAAGGTGTGCATGTCATGACAAAAGTACAATCAAAACCAACACCTTAAAGTCACCTCAAGTATGTATATGTAAATATGCACACATATACAGACGGATACATGTATATACATGTAGTGATTCTCTAAATAACAATGTCAAAAAGACATATCATGTTTATGGTAACTTGAAGAGAGTGCTCGAGCTCATACTACAACAATTGAGTTATTTTTCTTCACAAAAAATACATGACAAATTCATGCTCTACATAGGTCAATGCTGTTATGGGATTGACAAGGTCACTACTGAAAATAATGGTATGTATGACAGCACATATGGGTTTCCAATAATAGTAACTGAGTTCAAATAGCTGGGTTACCTGACAGAGTTGTCATTTTGAACAATATCTTCCATTTTGCTATGACAAAGCTTCAAGAGCTTCACTAGTTTCCTCTACCATAAAACAAGTCAACTGTTACTTGTAGCTCAGTGGTATCTAAAAATGGAAAAGCAGTTCAAAAGTACAACAAAATCTAATTTCAAGATCTTGGTCCAAGAACTATCAAATAAGATTTTTTTCTTCAAGACTAAATTTCTCAGCAAGAGATATCATTATTCGCTTGAAAAATGGAATAAAACAAGTGAGAAATATAGTTGTAAAAATTTTAGCACCTTGTTTTCCTCAACTGATATTTCCAGTAAAGCAGAAGTGTTGTCCAATGCTTCTTGCTGAATGTCCATTCCATAAACACAACCCCTGCCAGATTCACCGGCTACCATTGCGAGCAATGCCAGCGTGTCATAACCATTGCCGCATGTTGCATCAATTACAGTGTCTCCTTTCTGAATGATATTCTTCCACACCCTAATAAACCACAAGAATGAAAGCAGAACGCAATTATCAGCATATTTGTTATTCATATAACAAACTGAATATTAAGGTATTAGCAGTTTGTTCAATACTCCCTTGTGCCTTTGTTTGCAACTCCACTATGCTCACAGGAAATGGGAGACGATGCAGCAATTTATTTAACAAGATAAAATACAGTTATTCCAAAAAGAAATTAGGAGACCCACATAATTATAAACAAGAAATTAATTTCAGAATTAATTGAAGCTATTAACATAGGAACTATATATCTTTGATGCTCATGATTGTGATAAAAGATATTTTTGTACCAAAAATAATTTAGAAAAGGACTGTAAGCCCAGAAAGTACTTAAGCATGATCACCAGCTTCAAGAGAGACAAGACTGACTACAGGATTGGCACAAGATTAATCTGTATATGAAAGGAAGCCAAGCAACCCAATTAAATCTCATTTTTAAGGCCTTACATATACATTAGCTGATAGAAAGTCTAAGGTTTATCAGTATGTTCTTTTCTATGCCTATACACAGAGAACACTTGATAATTGGTGACTTGTGTTGCTATTTCCTAGACCCATTTTGCAGAATAATAGTTACTTGCATATATCCTAAACCTTCCAGTCCTATCAATGGATAAATAGGAAAAGGCAAATAACAGGGTAACATTATGATACATCACGTCCCTTTGACTTAGAACTCATCATTGAGAAGTGAACAATAGGTAACAGTAGTGCCACCACCATGGGTTTTAAGATGGCCCAAATAACATACATACTGATACTGAAGACATGGAACCAATCATCCCCCCCGCATTAAACACACAGGAAAAATATCAAAAGAACTATGTTATTGGATTGAAAAATCAAGAAAAAAATCTGCTTCAATAAAATTCAAAAGGTTAATTGTGCATTCATGTCACTGTATCGTAATTCTCGGTAAGATGCTACAGGCTCCATATATTTTTCAAAAGGGTTTTGGTAAACTATGTCAGGGATAAGTAGCTGGTGAGAAGCAGGTACCAGACTTTTAAACTTCGGTGCAAGAAAATCCTCCAAAAACCAACTTTACCCCAAAACCACAAATTTGCATCCTGATGACAAGCAGAAAACCTAATTTCTAAAATACTCCTTTATCACTAACGTCTGGACATATCATCCTGACAACTGGGAATGTTAGAAAATCTGCATCAAGTTTATGAATTGGGATATCTAGTTATACTCAATAAGCATGTAAATCAGAAATCCTTCAAGAATTTTTCCATTGACAACATATCGAAAACCATCAAAAGGAAAAATAAGAAAGGATCGTTGTACCTACGAGTGAGCTACCTCCGTTGCTTTCTTCCTTCCGGTGATAAAACCCATAAAAGCTTCCTCCATTCCTAAATTCGAAACAGATTGATACATAGTGATATTTTATCATCAAAAGGAGAGAACAGTGGCCACAATTGCTCATATATTAGTTTGCGGGTTGCAATAGAAGAAACATGCACTACATCATAAAGTACCGGCGATAGGGAACTCTTTGGCGCCGGATTTTCGTGAGGAACCCGTCGAGAGCTGAGCCTTCAACGATATGCTTCGACGAAATAAAGATCGGAGAGGAGATGGGGCGGTAAACCTTCGGAAATGCGGCGAGATTAAGGTTAGGGCTTCCATTTTGGGAGGTTGTGAAAGAGGTGATTGCGTGGACGAAATGGCAGAACTCGATGTAATACCGCGATGGAGTGTTCAGAATAATCCACGTGGTCTAAACTGACGGCTATGATTGCATCGACTCATTGCTCACCTCTTACATTCGGACAGCACAGTTTTTAAGATTATGTGTATATATAAAATAAAAACTAAAATAATATAAAGTATGATAGAATAATCTAAAATTCGAGGGAAAAATAACCGATATTCATGAAAAAAAATCTCATAATTATTAGTACAAAATAAAATGTTATTTATTATTATCTTTTAAAGCATTAGTGCAAACGAAATAAAAAGAATACACTGCCGTATGTCCAGAAATAAACTACAAAATCTTGAATGCAGTGAAGTAAACCGGAGAAAAGGGTCCAATTTTTTCTTGCAAAGCAATTTTACTTTAATCTTATTGGTTCTTAGTTCACTTTATTTTAATCGTCAAATTATTTGCCCCATTATCAATCGCTACACTTTTCTCTTTACCTTCGTATATTCTTGGATTTCTTCATCATCGGGTATTCGCTTGTGGTACGTGAATCAGAAGGCTGTGTGCGGCGGCGCAGCATGAGATGCATCCAAGATTCAGTGTGCCAGAGAGATGAAGTTGCTATTTATAGTGCAAATTTATTCTCTAGTAAATGGTGCCGAACATACGATAAGAACGGTGGGCATCACGTATACTGAAACAGACTCTGGACGTCCGCTCCTGCACGTATATATAGTAGCGAGCATGCAAGATAACTACTGCAGTGTTCCTGATGGCCATCACGGGGCTTCTGCAGGTGCCGGAGCGAGGAAGGGAACGGCGGGCACAGTTGGGATGGAAGGCATGACCGGGATGGAGGGCATCGTGACCTCAGGGATGCTTGGTATGGCAAACAAAGTCGGCAACGTAGCAGTCGGCATGACCGGCATTGGCGGCACTGCAAGCTTCGGAACAGTCGGTACCACCGGCATAGGCGACGACGTGGGAAGTGAGGGTGGAAGTGCTGCAGGGGCTTCGGCGGTGTCGAGCAAATGGCGTGCTGCACCGCATGTCAAATGGGTAGCCAAGAGAAGGGATGTGAGAAAGCTCATTCCGTAGAGGGCAGCCATGGAAGTCATGGATGTGCTTGCCCAAGTTTCAGCAGGGTCTGGGATATGATGAAGAAGGAAGAGCTAGGGCTGTGCTTGTGATGGTGGTGATGCAGTGGGGATTTATAGTGGGAGGCTAATGGAGCATGGGGTTGTGCTGGTGCAATTAATGATGAACTTGATTGACAAGGTAGTTGGCTTCCATTGATCGTTCTTCAATATGTGTTGGTGGAAAAAGCACAAAGCTTATGTTCTTTTGTACTAATTTTTCTATATTAAGCCAGCAAATCAATCTTAGATCCTTCCAACCACATTTTTCTCCCTTGCGCATCTTCCTTCACTGTTCTATTCCCACTTAGAGTGAGACAATACATCATCTACCTCACAGTTGCCTCTTTATTGTGATTAAGACCAGCCTTACCATATCTTTTGTCTCCAAAAGAAACCCCCATTAAGAGGGCGATAATTTTGTGGATATACAATTCTTTTGATTGATCAAAATCAGCCACACACCCAAATTAAGAGAAAATTTTGATCCACAACAATAGTTATCAGTTCATCCAATTGGGTGGTTGGACTGAAATAATCGAAAACCGTATTAATAGTTAACTCGATTTAATTATTGGATCGGATGTATTGAAAATTAGGAATTGACCTTATCAGTTTTTGGATAACTAACATGAGATCAGGTTAGATAAAATCGATCCAATTTTGTAATGTAGTGAATGAATACTAAAATACAATTAAATCTCTTTTATTATTATAGGAAGAACACACGTAAAGTTCGACACCTCAATTATAGGTTGTTCTACTGAAATTTCATCAGAATCTCGATGATTTTTACATTATGAAGGTAATTCCACCTTCAATTACAAAAAAGCAATCGGACATGCATGTTCAAGTAAAGAGATCTATTCATTCTTCTTAAACTTGAGATTTCCCTTTGGAATCTTGCTTAGTAGACTCCCATCCAGCTTGCGATACTGGCTCTGCATCTGCCCGAAGAGCTTGTCAAGGAAGCCATCAACTTGGTTTTCATTTTTCTCATAAAGCACAGGCAGTGTGTGAGCACAGACAAACCCTGCACCAAATGAGTGAAGAAGGATAATTGGATTTTCATTTAGATATCTCGGTGCAGTCTACAACATTCTCCTCATAAATTCAGGTCAATAAGCCTAACATCTCAGTCGATCACAGAATTTATGTAGCGTCAATCCATAATTTGTCTAAAAATTTAAACTAATATAGGATTTCCAACACCAGCTACATGCATAATTTGCCACCAGGGATAAAGAGGAGCTAATTATGATTTCCTGACTATTCAAATTGCAAACTCCTTGATTCAAGAATTTGCCTATTCTAAGCTCATCATTTCTTATTTGTTTAGCAAAGTAGAGATAAAAAATATGGCCACATAAATTCCAACTTGTTCTATGAAGATGAATATAACAAGCTAATACGAGTTCCCCAGCAAGTGATCAGTTGCCAAAACCAAGTCATATGCTTCATATTTTTATTTAGGTACAAGCAGCTCCCTATTCTAATACATTTTACCAATAAATAACGTAGATATGCACACAAAGAGAAGAGACAAGTGAGTTACATAAGCATGTAATCCAGGTATAGATTCTCACCAATATAAATGATGGTGAGAAAATTGCACCAACTTCCGATCAAAGCAGTAGCCCCCAGGCTTGCTACAACCTGATGAAATTTCACATTAACTAGAATCATTGAAGATCTTATAAGGTTTCATTCCTTATATGATAAAACCTAGACATTAATCAGAAAAGCACCACCTTTTGAAACTCTACAATTGTTACCAAAGGAATATCAATACCCAACATAACAAAAATATTATACTAGAAAAATGAATCGCTAGTGGCAGGAATCAGTTCTCCTTGTATGATTTTCTAGTATTCCCATTCCTAGAACATGTTTTCATATGTTCAATTGCACATCACAATTACTCAACAGGGACTATTTAGAACTACCTCTGAATAATATACAGCATCTCTTCCAAAATTAAAAGTATGAAACATCTGATGAAAACTTCCTAAATGCAAAGACTCCATGCTTTTATCATTTCAGCTGCGTTCCTAATGTGAAAAGTCAAATCTATTGCAAACTTGATAAGCATAAGAAAAATATTTACATACAAATTAATAGAAAAAGAACTTAAATATGCATGGTATGCAGGAAATTTCCTGAAAGCAGCATACCATAAGAAACTGTTTCAAGTTTCCTCCACATGAAACATCTTGAATGAATCGCAAAAAATGATTAACTTGGGCACCAAGAGAAAGAGCAACATTTGCAAAAAGATCATCGGGCAAAACAAGCCGAGGTACTTGAGGTGGAGATCTATAAGAGAGGGTCATTCAGCAACTGTCATCAGAAAAATTCTTCATGATAAAGTAATTCGCTACCTGTTTAATACTCTAGAAGCATTTGACCAAACAAACTGAATAAGCATTCCAATGACAAGTGCAAAGGCCAAGAGAGTCAAAAAGTGATAATTCAACCACTCAAAGAGAATCCAGATAGCTGTTGCAACAGTCAAGACACTTGATGATATCTTATTGTTCCGCCATAACAACACATCAGCAGCTACAAGATCAAAATGAATAATTTCATTTTAGTTATATGATACTTAAGAACAAGACATCTGGATAGAAAATTAACTTACATTTTCCACCTCCCAAGATCTTGTGAACAGAGTTCTGGCGTCCGAACAACCTATCCATCTGTGCTGAGACTGAATTTGGTTCTTCAAAGAATCTTACAGACTTCTGCTTGGGTACAGTATCAGCTATCTTTTCCATTATGTTGTTCAAAAAATTTTCAGATGTGCGCTCCACATGCTCAGCCATGTTTCTGTGTGATGGTGTCATCCTAGAAAGCAACTCCAGCAATTTAACCATCCATTATGTCTTTTCAATCCAATAAAAATTGAAAAAAGTCATAGAAGTTTAATAGAAGCACAAAAAATGACAAGCATACACTAAGCCCTTCACATGGCAAATACTATTCCAACTGTTCTACCCTCTGTACCACTTCACCCCAACCCACCACGCATAGAGAGAAGATTCAAATGATAATGAATTTATCACATATAAAATTCATATATACTGTGGAAAGGAGAATCCCCCAGAAAAGAAAACTGTGCTACTTACCATAACAAATAAAATGTCTAGTGTCACAAGAAGCTAATAATTAGGATTTTGCCCAAACGATGGCGTAATAAGACCTATAATCTGACATGTACCCAGGATAGCATGACAATTGTTTCTTTTCTAAAGACCCAATTAAAGGATATAACAATACCCAGGAATGAACAAAGAAGCCAAAATTAAATATGGATGAATACATCACTTTAAGCTGGTGGTATGCAGCAATAACCAAGTATCACATTTTTGAGTCAACGTGACCCCCTTAAAGTGAGTTTAGGGCATTTCTAAACATGCCCCAATTTGGCTAATTTCTTTAATCAGATAATTAGTTCCTAATTTTCACCACATTGCACCAAGTTTCACAGAAGCATGAGGCATCTCCATTTGCACTAGGCAGCTCAAATGCCCCTTAAGGAATACATACGTTCTGCCCTATTTTCCAAGACGCAGTGAATGGCTAGACAAGCAAAATAGCATGCAGGAGCTTCATCAAGAACAGAATGCCATCCGAGCAGCAGGAGAAATGGACAATAGGGCATCTACCCCATAATTATCAAATATAGCACCATTTCTCTATGTTACTAAAATAACTAATATTATGGATTTTTTTTAGCAGTTCAATATAAAGTTATCAAATTTTCTCTACATCAATATCTTTATTATACTTGAACATACATCAGCACATAAAAAATTCAAACTTCCGAAGACCACAGATTTTCATTTGCCTCTTTTATTTTGCTTGGCAACAAAAAGATCATTTTAAGATACAAATACACAACGCTGAAGTAGAGATTTCTTATCATGGTCACTCCAACGACATTATTATTCACAATATCGAAACTGATTCATTGTCACAAAGAACTTCCAAGAACTGTCACTGTTGAAAGCTACAAGCAACTGTGACCCACAACGAAGGAATTTATAAAAAGACAAAAAAAAAAAAACTTGATTGACGCAGAGATCGGAGATAAGCATGAAAATCCAGGCGAAAGAGCATAAAGAAAATGAAAGAAGGCTTCCTATGATCCCATTTCTCGTCTCTCCAAGAACTAGAAGAACTTGCACAGAACCGAAGGAAAGCAATAAGGAAGTCGATGATCGAATGATCGACTTAATAGAAATAAGTCTTGGAAGGATTTGGAAGGGGGAGAGGGGAAGAAAGCGAGGAAAGAAGACTCACCCAGATTAACGATGGTTCCTCAAGCAAGGGGGGGAAGAATTTGGGAATCAGAGAGTGAAGAGGAGACTGCGTGCGTGCAGTGGGAAGGGAACCATTAAAATAACGGCTGTTATGATCTGCGTAACAGATTTGCGCAGAATGTATCGGCGTTACTTAGGCCGATCTCAGATCTATTCCGATAGAATAATTAATGTTTCATTTTACGGATGTCACGTGCGCGAAAAGTGATCGCCACGTATGCCTAACACAGGCCGAATAAATGCACGAGACGAATTATTGTCATTTAATTAAATTGTTTAATCGAGTTGAAATTAAATTAGTGATATAATTATTCTATTTCTAAGCTTAAATTAAATTGGCGAGCACGAAAGAAATTTGAACTGAGAAACAACATGACGTCATGTAATCTAAGGAGTGACATCCATCACATCGGGCCCGCGTATACCTGTAGCGGCGGTCAAACCAGTCGTGGAAGGAGAAAGACTGCCGGAAACCCGCCTGACATGGAAGCCACATTTTTCTCACTAAGAGTTGGACTCAATTTGAAGACGAGACTGGCTGTGTTTCTTATTTGATTCGAATTCTTGCTGAACAAAATTGGAACAACGGAGCTTAGGCGACGTCCCACCCATTATACATGCGACAGTAGTCGCATACATTATAGAGCTTTTACTTCCTAGGCACGTCAGTCAGAGTTGCCTTGGTAACTGTTCTTGAAGGAGTTCTTCCTGGCCGATGCCAGCACCGTCTTGTCGGCGACTATGAAGTAGGCCGCTCCCGCGGCTGCACCATTCACACGAGTCAACATAAGGCATCAGCGTAAACCATCTATCTAAACGCGCGTCTGATAGTAGTAAGGAGAGAGTGTCAGTAACCTGTGGAGATGATGAGGGCTTGAGCAGTAGGATTGAGGTTGGACCTCGCCCATGGCAGCATCCTAACGCTAGCCAACTGTAGTTAACATTTCATGAGGCATTACAATGGAACTCGGGCATTAGATTGCATTGAAGAGTACGCTTACCGTCGGGATGGCAGCTGCAACACTTGCGACGACGGCCGCCTTTGCTCCCGCCATGGCTCCCTCTGGCAATTGTTCCAGGAAAGATGAGGTAAAAACCTAAGGCTGAGGAATGGTAGATTAAGTAATATATATAATACCATGGGAACAGCGCTTGGCCATGGCCAGTTTCTGATCCAGAGCGGCGGAACCCATGCTTCGCTTTCGCTGAGTTGCAAGAGGAGAACGACGGTGAGCAGAAGGAAACGATGTAGGGAAAGCTTCAAGCTGTGAGATGGATGGAGGTGGGTAGCGATGTCGATTTATAAGCACGGGAAGACCGGCAGCGGTTGATGGTTTTTGGCGTCCGGTGGTCGCCCGTTTTACTCCGTAGCAGGTTGTCAGATTCACTAGTGTTTGATGCGTTTTCTTTGTACATCTTAAAGAGCTTCGTGATCATTTTCTATTGATATTTTCTGATAATGTCACCCAATGCCGCAAAATAGTCGAAGGAAAGCTAATAGTAAAACGCAAAGAACACTTCTTTATCCTTCTCGCTGTCGCACGAAAACGAGCAACAGAGAAAGAGGAATCGATCCATAGAAAACGAGCACTTTATCCGATTCCGCCGATGGTATTGGAAGGAGGAGCAAACCGTGGGTACCTGTCATGTCGAGACGATGACCACGTCGCAGTATCTGAGCTCCCTGTAGCACCCAAAAGCGTAGCAGTTGGGAGCAGCCACTGGTATTCGTCTTGAGGAAGGAGGCCCGCGTGGACATTAACCAGGCCGGGGAGAGTGTTCCCAGCGGCCTTCGATGCTTCAGCGCATGGCTTGATCGGTCCAATAGAGATTAATGTGATGCCCTTTCACTACAACGATTAAGCTCAAACAGTGAAATGATGGAAGTCATCTCTCCTCGTTTTGAAGCAGCATCGTCCTTGACCAAGGATGATATCAGTCAGTACAAGCAAACTAGTTGGATGTCCGAAATTGTTGAAGGTATGACAGTGACAGAGCCAGGTTTCAAACGGGATTGGATAAGCACACAAGTAACTCGACTAAATGTCGCAACACTTGAGGACGAAGAAACTTTTGATCGAAGCACTTTCTTATCAAAATCCGACATTTGGACTCCTGTCGTTGGTGTATGCGGATGAGAAGTTGAACTAACGTTACATAATAACATCACCTTCTTCTTCTGCTCCCACCAACACCTGTTGAAACGCGATCCACGGAAGCCAACCACCAGTGTCTACCTTGTTAACCTAATCCTTCGGTGATCGCACCACCACTGTCCCAAACTCCATGAGCCACCCACTATAAATATCGACTGCATCACCACCATCAACAGCAAGCCCCCTTATCTCTTAGCTTCTTTCTAGTATCACAGTCCCAACCCTGGTAAACCCTAGGCAAGCGCATCCATGGCTTGGAGAGCTACCATCTACAGAATGAGCTTTCTCACAGCCCTTATCATGGCTAGCCACATGCCATGCGATGCAGCACGTCATTTACTCGACACAACCGAAGCACCTGCAGCGGTTCCAACCATTCCGACCTTCACTGTGCCTTCTCTTCCCACATTGCCGCCGATGCCAGTAGTGCCGACTGTTCCGAATCTTGCACTGCCGCCAATGCCGGTCGTGCCGACGGTGCCGAAGGTTACGTTGCCGCCTTTGCCTGCCATACCAAGCATCCCTAAGGTCACGATTCCTCCGATGCCGTCCATTCCGGTCATGCCTTCCATCCCAAATATGCCTACCGTTCCCTTTTTCACTCCACCACCTGCAGCAGCCCCGTGATGGCCATTAGAAACACTGGTTTGGATGTTGGCTGGCTATAGTATATATATACATGTAAGTTTGAGGGTCTTCGAGTTCGTGTCACAGTGGATTTAGTATGTGCGCCACGCAGTGTGTGGAGTGTCTGCTGTCTGTTATATGCAGTTTATTTGTGTTGGATGGTTTGATAGATTTCACCTACTTATTGTATGTCATTTGATACCATTTACTGGATAATATAAATTTATATTGTCATCATATAGTCACCAATTAAATCTCATTTCTCACGGCACGTACCATTTACTACATAATTCTGTGGTGTGCATGTCTTTTTGTCTCTCTCACACGCAATACCATCTGAAACCTGGCTGGTATATGACAAAGGCGAGTGATCATGGCTCCATCTTTGCCATGAAATTGGGTGATGCATAGATACTTTGTGAGGAAAACTCCTGAAGCAAAGAGAGAAAGATGTGAAGAGACATCCAAGCGAAAGAAGGCAGTTGTTTTGGTAACTCAAAATCCTATCTTTTATGGCAACTTGTTAAGTGTGAAGGAATAAGAAACAAACCAAGAAGTCGATGTAGCAAAAGGTCGTGATGAAAATGATCACTGACATTTCAGGTGTGCTCGGTGACATCGATCACAGTGACCTCAAGTATAGTTGTGGCAGCGGTCAATCTCTTAGGAGCATACTCCTACGAGACAGAAGGGCCTGCCTCCCATGTGAAGTTCATAGATCATGCAGCAATTTTCCTTGTAAGAGTTGGTTTTAGATTGAAAGATCTGGTTTTTCTCTTGATTCAACTTTCTCATGGAAAGATGCTTCAACCATGACAATATCGACAACAGATACTTGGAGCCATTAATTCATTATTATACTTGGCTTGGGTCGGTCTACATGCGATATAGCACTCCAAAACGAGATCATATACATTGTACACCTCTTAGTTCTTGGGCATATGAGTGTTCACTTGGTGAGTGCTCTGAAAGGAGTTCCTCCTGGCAGTGGCCAACACCGTCTTGTCCGCAACTATGAAGTAGGCTGCTCCTGCGACTGCAGCAAGCCAAACTCTCCGTTGGTCACATCGATATATGTAGGTAGCATCAGAAAACGTTTTAGTGAATGGAAGCACAAGAAGTGTGTCGGTAACCTGTGGAGATGATGAGGGCTTGAGCAGTAGGATTGAGGTTGGCCCTCGCCCACGGCAGCATCCTAACGCTAGCCAACTACAATTACCATTTGATGAGAAATTATAATCGAAGTCGTGCATTAGAACATGTAAGATCGCATCGAAGATCAGTAATGCTTACTGTGGGGATGGCAGCTGCAACACTTGCGACGACGGCCGCCTTTGCCCCCGCCATGACTCCCTCTGCAAATTATTCCGAGAAAGATGAGATAAAGACCGGGCAACGGCAATAAAAAACCTGAGGCTGAGGAATTGAAGGATAAGTAGTGTAGAAGTGAAGACATAATAAATACCATGGGCACAGCGCTTGGCCATGGCCACCTTCTGATCCAGAGCGGCACGAGTGACTGAACTCATCCTTCCTGCTAAGTTGCAAGAGCAGAAAGACTGTGAGAGGACGAAGGTAACGAGGTAGGGAAGGGTTCGAGTTGTGAGATGCATATGGAAGTGGGTGGTTATGTCTATTTATAAGCTTGGGAAGACCAGACCGGCAGCAGCTGATGGTTTTTGGCGATCGGTGGTCGCCTGTTTTACTCCGTTGCAGTTTGATAGATTCACCGGTTTCACTGCTTTTTCGGTGCATCGTAACGCAGCTAAGAGTTTCCAATGCATTCTCTATAGATCTGGTTTTTGAATGGAGAACCGAGTCAGATGGTACGATAACGTTCCCCATCGCTAGCATAGAGGCAGAAGAAGAAGGCTGACATAAAGAAGCGATTCTTCACTGTCCTCACCGTGACAGAGAAAGGAATCCATCCATAGATTGACGTGCGGTTTTATCGCAATCCACCGACGGTGTCGGAAGGAGGAGCAAACCGTGGGCACCTGTCACGTCGAGTCCTCCGATGACGGCCACGTCTCAGAATGTAAGCATCGTACAGCACCCAGGAAAGCTGCAGTGGGTTGGTGGAGCAGCAGCTGGTATTTGGGTTGGTCCCGTGGCACGGAAAACCCCACTATTGGTTGAATTCGTGGCGTTGATGGGTGGGTTTGCTATGGAAGAACAGAAGGATCTAATTTACAGGTTGACTATTTGCTGGGAAATCAGGCTTAGTACTGCAACTGTTTTAGATGGGAAGCTCTACATCTGCAATGTCCAAGCGGGTGACAAGCAAGAGATGGTTCGAGTGAGCCAGGAAGTTTGTGTAAGGCACAGCTAGTTCCTTCAGCGTGGCATGAGAGAATCCTGGGCTTGAGTTCCTCTCCTCGTTAATGAGTTGAATGGCTACAGAACTGCCAATCTGTAGGATCGTATTGTGTTTGTTTGAATGCGACAATGAAGCAGTTTATGCTCAGATAGCTACTAGCAAATTGAAAGAGACAATTTCTGGTAAGATCTATGGATGTACAGTCAGCTAATCCTCTTAATGCACACATGTTTCCAAAGTTCGGAGAACTTTTTTGATCTCGATTATTGCACAAAAGATAATTTTTTTATATCAGATTAAAAAATATATCTCATGAAATATTCCTTAATGGAACAATCCATAACCAAAAGGCTAAATCTTATCTCTTTTATACTAACCAGACTGTCACATATACAGCCACATATCGACCGTCGTCATCGGGTGAAAAATTCCCCTATCAAAAGTAAGACACTTAAATCTTGTAAATCTAACAAAAGCAAAAGGAAAAGATATATATAAGTTCCATCATCAGCTTTGCAAAACCAAGTCATGTAAAGAGGGGATTAATATACATTCTTCCAATTATTGTTTGCTCCCTTTGCTAATTAATTACACCAAGATACTTCAAGATGTACAACAAAATGAATAAACAATCAGGTCAATTCCGGCAGCCAAAGCAAGCGAAACGGTCAGCATTTCCTTCTCCTTGGTGTGGTGTCTTGTGTGATCTTAGAGATGACAGACAAAGGAATGATGGACTTATGGCCTAGGTTACCATAAAGCCCGATACTGCCGAAGCTAGCAAAGGAAGAATTCATGGTTGCGTTTAGTACAATAGTCAAGTTTTGTTGCTGTCCACTTGCAACAAAAAACTGAGCCGGCGCCACAGAAACTGAAGCTCCAAATGGAGCACTCCAGCTGACATGGTAATACTCATCATTTGCTACGTTGGTGACTGTTCTCACGATAACTCTCAATTGATTGAGCAGTGATATTGTAATGGAAGGAATATTCAGATCTGAGCCTGTCATGTTAGAAACCTCACAGGTATGACCGGTGTAGTTTAGTACTATGGGACCGGATCCATTGATGCCACAAAGAAAGGAAATGAAGTCATCATAACCTGGTGCACAAGGAGATACTAAATTCAGCAAGTTATAAAATCACACTACACTGCAGTTTTCTAATGAAAGATTTACTAGAGTTATTTTAGAGATAGCATGTGTGGTAGATAGTAAATGGCTGCAACAAGCCATCACATGAATCCTTGCAATTATTTGTTATTAGTAGTTTGTGAAGCAGCACTGACCTGTATCGAAGATAAGTCCCGGGTCTAGAGCAGCAGTTGCATTAACAAAGCCGCTGCCCATGTCAAATGGTGTCGCAGGAGACTGGTTGGAATCTGGATTTCTGTAAGCTCGTTGGGCCATTATGGGGCCACCTTGCCTGTCATATAGCGTGGCAGTTGTGGAGAGGGCCGAGGCAATGGCTGAAGGACTAAAACTAGGAAACTTTTGCTTGATCAGAGCAGCTAGACCTGCTATATGTGGAGCAGCCATACTTGTACCAGATATCATTGCAAAACTCTCACCTGTAAATGAGGATAAAGCCCTATAAAAAGTAAATTCAATACAGCAAAATGCATCTGTGGTAATTGTAAAAGTCAATACCAATGATCATCGAGAGTCCGAACTCGATATTGTTCACTGGCTTAAAATTTGTGCCCTATGGGCAAGGTCTGTCACCTATATGGAAGAAACTATGATTTCACTTCTCCTGGATGCACTTTGTGGCCTAAGTAAAGCTTCAGGCACTTTTTCAATCATGAAATAAGCTAATTTGGTAGCTATTTCCTACTGAATATCAATTTAGTTTCAGTTGCCACAAACTAATCACCAGTATGGTTGACAAACAGTGATATGATTGCATCGAGGGCTCGAGTTCAGCAGAAGTTCTTGATATACTAATGATAATATTATAATAGTATTCATGTGTTGACATGAATGTACCTTCAAATTCGGCAGAGTCAGTTCCCACAGAACTCCAAGCACCCCATATGAAATTACCGGGAGCTATCAGATTAGGTTTCATTATATCAGCATCGGCTAAGGAGTTGTCCTCTGGATCTGGTCCTCTAGCAGAGTAGTACATCACTTTTGGGGCAGTGTTGCTGTAGTTAGCCTTAAGACCTCCTAATATGTTTGCAACACCACAATACTTGATGATGCTCTTCGACATGTCATCTCTCACTAAGGAGCTATTATAGTAGTCAAAAAATACCTAAACATCAAAAATACAAACAAATGATTGGTAACATATAATGAACAATGATGGGATCAGAATAATGCTGGAAAGTCATGAATTTATAGTTTTTTTATGGACAGAAAATGTGAAAATCATAAATACAACCTACCATATATTCATATAGAAGACAAGAAGTATGAAGAGAATATAAGCAGGAGACAAGTAGCTAGTAAAAATAACTAAATGCAACATATGCACAAACAAAAACAAGCTATTCAACAACAAGAATTTTGCAAGAGGAAACCTGCTTCATAAATTAAAAGTCAAAACAGAAAAGATGTCATGAATCAACCTGTGTGGAAAATGACATGCAAATGAATAGCAGAAGAAATATATCAGATTAAAAAAAAGAAATGGTTATCTGGAGGTACTTCAATTGGCAAACTTATAAAGAGAATATATACATATATATATGTATGTATGTATATATATATATGTGTATATATATGTATATATGTGTATATATATGTATATATATGTATATATATATACACATATATATACATATATATATATACACATATATATACATACATATATATACACATATATATACATACATATATATACATATATATACATACATATAAATACATATATATACATACATATATACAAGGTTCGCCGTACCGTACCGTACCGGCGTTTCGACTCGGGCTCGGTACCGGTACGGTACGGTATACCGCTCGGTACGGGCGGACCGGTACAGGGCGGTCCGCGTACCGCTAGCCTGTCGGACCGGTACGGCAAACCTTACATATATATACATATATATACATACATATATATACATATATATACATACACATATATATGTATAGAGAAAATGTATGCGTCGCTTGAAGATATAGTTCCACATCCACAAGAAAAATAAAAGGTTGGCACTAAATATGAACACGTTGGACCGTGACCTAATATACAAGCTTTTGGGTTTAGCACAATTACTAGAAAGAACAGAAAAAAGAAGAGAGAACGAAGTTGAGTTAGGTACATTTGAGGGAGTTAGCTGATTTCTCAACCTTACAATCAGCTTGGATAGAATCACTGGACTCAATTACAGTTGGTCGACTTTGCCTAATATCAAATGATGTGATAACCTAGAGTCTGGATGGTAGGAACACAGAAAACGAAGTTGCAACTGTGAATGTCAAATAGAATAGGGGATGAATGGAAGAGGCAAAGGAGAAGTGAGAAGCCCACATGGAAGAAAAAGAAACTCATGACCATGATTGTTAAATAGAGTAGGAAATGCTATTATCATCCCACTTGGTACTTGTTCATTTGTAGCGTCCATCACTGGTGTTTGCCATCTTTGTTTTATATTTGTTGTTCACCATCTTGTAAAACATAGAGGAAATGATACAGTGATAAAAAAGGAGAGGACTGAATGTAGCTCTTAAGGAAATGGGGATGCTTTTATAGAGAAGTGAAATGCCATGCAACTTTATATTAATCTTAAATTCCATGTGACCTCTTCTCAAATAAAGTTTTTTATGCCTTTGTATCACTTAAGGTTTCACCTGCATGATTATTAAAAAAAACATTGGGGCTACGGTAGGGTAAAGGTTTTCTTCAAACTGTGTGGATAGGTTTCCTAATATTTAACAACATATGTATATTAGTAACTCAGTATGCTAACACATTTGTACAATATGATCAATTTTATTTTCAAGTAAATATAAATAGTTTATTTTTTAAGAATTATTTTTCATCATTTATCATATTTTAAATTTTAAACTTTTAATGTTAATCTATGTTAGGAAATATGAAGATATGCTATCATCATATATGCCTTTTATGTCATGAAATTTTATTTTATTCTGATATTTTGCCTAAGTTAATATCTCGACCAATCTGATCTGATCGATCCTATTGATTTTGTCGATTCCAATCATATTGTCCATCCAATCCTACTCTTAATATCTATCTTCCAAACTATTGTGTTGAAAAGCTCAAAAGGACTGAAGGAGAAAATTCATATGAGAAATGTACAACATAATCCAAAAAGAAGTCCCAAGCATTCAGTTAAAGAAGTGTCGAGCATCCAACTTAAATATGCTTTGATGCTGTTAATACTTTATGAGGATTCCATAATGAATCACCACTAAAAAATTCAATACTTCTGAATATATCTCTGTACCTTGGAGTCATCTGTAGATGGTATTATCAGGCCTGGCATATCCATAGGAATTGGGTTCAGATGAAACCCAGTAACAAATGGATCCATGTAGAATATAACTCCAACCGCGCTAACATTCTTTGCTGTCTCCAATGCTTGTTTGATGGAAGAGAGTCCCAGAACAAATCTGATTGAATAGCTACAGATCAATATCTTCCCATCAATCAGATCTTCATCTAGATAACTTGAATCTTGGCATTCTCCCAAATACATATCATTTGCTACGGTGGTGTTATTTTTCATGGCATGAATAGCAGCAATAAGAGGAAACATTGAGTCGCCATCTGTTCCAGCTGTTATACAGAAACAAAATTAATACATGATAAAATTGCATCACTAAGGAACTTAAAGATATCAAAGTAACCTTCAAATAATAAACATGGCATACTCACGTGCAAGTCCAACTCCTGAAATTGTTAGATTGTTACCAAGCAGTAGCCAGTTATTGTATACTCTATCGTGAGCAGAGGCACCTACAGTAAATATCCAAGGGCTGAAGGAAGATACACTCTTTGGCGAAGGTCCAGTATTTCCTGCTGCTTGTACAACAAATATTCCAGATTTTACGGCTGAGAGCAATGACATGTCTATTGGATTGAAGAATGTTGCTAGCCCCCAAGGACGCCTATTCGGTGTGATAGATAAACTTATGATATCAACACCATCTTGAGCTGCCTGCAATTGCAAATGATCAGAAATGCCAGCCAAGCAAGTTGCAACAAAAGTGCTTAGCCAATAAATTACTATTCCATGTACCTAATTCTAGGTTTTGAGGATGGAGAGAATATATAATATATGCATAAATTATAATTGCTAAGATAGAGACTCCTTCACAAATCAGAACAAATGACTACCAGATTATTCAACAAATCTATTAGTTCCATGATAGAAATAACTTCATTTAACCTTTTTCTTACCATGTCAAATGTGCAGACCCCAAATGGCTGTAAATTGTATTGCATAGCATACTGTTAAATGTTGTTTCAATAGAGAAAACTTCATATTGAGGTGGAAGACAACTTAACAAACAAAAAAAGTTCAGAAATTACTCTCTCATGGCATGGGTTTATACTTTAAACTGCAATCAGCAAACAGATATTCTAACCACTATTATCATTCTAGAACTTGCAGCAAGCTCTTTCTTGCATAAGATTTCAAAGGTCACATTCCTAAAGAAATGATATCGTTTCACTTATAACTTCCAGATTTTTATCTGGAACCTTCTCAAATCCAATTTATGTTTTACAGTTCGCTTCACTGTGATGAAAACCAAAATCACAGTAATCAATTTAGATTGAAAACACGAATTTGATTCAAGTATAATCAAGAAGTGACTTGAATTCAGTAGCCAATATTATGCCACTGATATGAATATAGAGCAACTGTTCTCTTTACCTGATCTATTGCAGCAACAACATCAGCAGCAAAGCCTCCAAAGCTTTTGTACAGAGCTTTATAAACAGCAATGCTGAAAATTTTGCATTATTTGTGTTAATCTTATGTGTAAAGGAAATATATGCTGATTTACAATTGGATAAGATTGGTGACTTACTGTGCATGAGGGGCCATGCCACTTGCATTACCAAAATGATGCCCTGAGACAATAACAGGTATTCCATGATTGCCAGCAGCAATGGAGGTTGTGTGCCTGCATGTACGTAAAAGATATTGCAATAAAACAAATTCAGACCTGGAAACTGAGAATATATCATTTACTGTGTCAGAGCTTATAAGTAATGTTGGACAATTTCCTAGCATATGACTTTGGAATATCCTCCTTTATCATCCTACTGGAACAACTCACTAGTCATGTTTTGGACTTTAACTTTTTTTCTATCAGCATCCTTTCATGTAGTTTTACACAGTATTCTAACACATATATAACTGGCTATAGAGGCCATGTAAAAAATATCACTCTCCCAGAAAACCACGAAAGGCAAAACAAACAAACAAAAAAGGTTTACACAGCACTATCCTTGTGGGAAAATGACCTTTGTCTTCTTTAAATGCATTATCAGGTAAAAAAAAACAGAGAACATTAGCTCACCTCATTTGATAGAAACAAATAGTATCCATTTTGATGGAACCAACACAAATCACATATATGTATCCATTATAACAAAAAATATATAGAAAAAGAACATATGTAAATCAAGAAATTTTAGAATTTCAATAAATTTGTAAAGACAATGTTTATCATATTGAGAGAGAATGCATTGAGAAAGTTCCTTCAAGGGAAGTGTTGCAAAATTTGTTGCAGGGAAGTTTGTTGTTGGAAGGTACTTACGTTCCATGACCATCACCATCAAATGGTGAAGCATAGTCCTGAGTAGCATTGAACATACCCCTAATAATAGCAGAAGCAGCAAAATGACGAGCACCAACAAGCTTTCTGTTACATGATCCAGATGGAAAATCTCTTGTAACTTCACAAATACCAGAAAAATGAGCAGGAACAGGATAGTGATTGATAGAAAGAGTATCAGAGAAGCTGGGATGCGTAGGATCTATTCCTGTGTCAATAAAACCAATAACGATTCCTTCCCCAGCAACTTCAGGACCTCCATCTTGGGCCCAAGCTCCATGAGGCAGACCTAAGAATTCTGGAGTGTGTGTAGTTGCAGTCCTAACTGAGAAGTCCAACATTAAGTTTGCTACCTCATGCCTCCGAGAAAGCTTGTCTGCCTTAAATATCCACCAAATCACTAGATAAGATAAAAGTTGAATGCAATTTGCTAAGATCAAGACTTGATCTAGACTTTCCAATCATAGAAACAGACATATGAAGAATATAAAATTGCATCAAAATGATAATCATTTATAATATTTAAAAAGAGGGTCAGCATGTTATCATTCTTTTGTCAAACAACAACTATTGACTATTGTACTCTTTCTCCATTACAGTCTATTAACTTTGATTTTGGTTTAAAAGAATAAAAGTGCACAAGATAAAACCTTAGGTCCCTTGGTTTCTTTTGCTACAAATCAATCGTATCACTTACTCATAGGAGAGTTGTTGAATGCAAAAAATGCATTGTGACATTTCCTATTCCACTTTAGAATGGTATCCTCAAATGCATTAACTAAAAGCATGCAACTGAAAATGCCGATACTTATTCTTTCTTACTTTACACTAAAAGAAAGAACATGAAAATTATCATAAATAAAAGATACATATAGAAGAATCAAAAGAATTGACAAATTCATATTAATTGCATTCCTCATATACCAGTATCGCCCTTAAGTTCAGTCTTTTGGAAAGTTTTATATTCATCTAAATGTTTTATACTCAAGAACCATCTGCTTCTTTTGTTTAGTTCATCAAAATAAGTTGAAGACCCATATGCATTCATTTTAATATATCTAGATAAGGAACAACCACAGTCTAATTCATACTTTCATTGCATGAATGTTCTTATACCGTACTTCTTTGTTATCTTGACGAACACAAAAAGCCTATTCAAGTTGTGCAAATGTTGGCTTTTAATTTTTTAACATCATAGAGGATGTCCATTAAGATTCTGGCTGAACCACATATACATAAATGAATTCACCTCCATTTTGGAATCTTCATGACTGAATTTTAGGTTATAGGATAGCGGCCTTAATCCTCCATCACTATTCTATCTGAACCATATATAGATATATATTTTTTGCATTACATCTATAAATAGGTACATCTGCCGTCTCATGCCTAAGGAATTTTTTTTCACATGCATGGCAATAGCATGTTACTAGTAATGCAGATAAGCTTTTACTTAGTATGATGACAAGTTATATGAACATCTTAGCTTCAAAGTTATGAATACAAGTAGGCCCACAATATTTTGCGATTTTTGTGAAAAGAGGAGGAGCTGTGATTTGACTCACCACATAAAAGCACCCATAATTAAGCCACAGCCCACTCAACACAAAGCATCACTAGGCATCAGGTTTGATGAAGCATGGCCCACTAGGTTTCATTTTAAATCTCCTATACATGGGCCTCATCTTCATGAAAAAAAAAAAAAACAAATTTTATGTTGAAATAAGAACAAATGTTCACTTCTTTGTAATAACATTGACTAGCATATTTTTCCATCTCTGAGCATAGGCCCACCTCCCAAATTGATTAAGATACAAAAATAAAATTTCGCAAAGTTGTGGATTTAAAACTAAACATAATCTACCATAATCTACCACACCTCACATTACTTGTGGGAAATTCTAGGAATCTTTTTATGTGTGATGTGATGTGCTAAGATGACAAGGACATCAGGAATTTATAGGGTAAATTGTAATACCCTGATCTCATTAGTCCCAGATTAGCTATGGGTTGGGTTTTAATTAGCTTATAAGTTACACCAGAGCCCACCTTGTGAGTAATACTTTCCAGGATATCATTCACATGGTTTTGGACTCGGATTGACAATCTCTTCCACATAAGTGCAAATAGAACAGATTAAGACATCAAAGAATGACACAAAACATAAGAATATAAGCAACACAATTGGCATCCACGGATAACCTAGATTGAGTTTCTTGATCCTTCTCTTAAAATTGCACTTGTCATACAAACCTACTAAAAATGATCCAGACTAAGCAAGAATAAAAGAAATAACTGGAAAAGAAATGGATTATATAATCAAGCAAACAAGCACCTGTTGAGGGGTGATAAGCACAGCAAATCCATTAATCAAGTAATGGTAGCTATATAGCTTCAGATATTTCTCCCCTCTCAATGTCCTTTTCAGTAGCAAATTCTGAAGCCGAATCAAATATGAACTGTAACTTGTATTTGTCCGTGATGCATTCCTGGATTTAGGACATGGAACCCATATATCACTTTCAAGTATAAAATAAATGATCAGGAATATGCATAAAAACTGTGTCATCATTATAGGTGCAAGAAAGATGAATGCCTTCAACAATAGCATGAAAATCTAACTATATGGATATAGTGTGCCTAGATTGTAGATGTGGTAGACTCTTATTAAGTGAGTTATAAACCTGATTTTGAAGGATTTCTGCAGACCTAATAGATGCACAGAAGATAAATGCATAGAATAGTCATCATACATCAATTATTTACTTCGTGACCAACAAAAACTAAAGGGACAATGAGTAACAAAAGCTGTCTTAAAATTATTATAACATAAAGTAGTACACATATTAAACACAACGCTCCTCTATATTAACATGATTGCTTGGATAATTAACTCTAGTAAAAATCAAACAAGCTTATTTCCAGCTGCATTTGCCAAGTTTCCTTAGAGACCAGGGTTAACACAATTTCCTCCTAACTTCCTTTTAAGATAACAATCTACTGGATAATGCCTCTACAAATTATATAGCAGCATATTTTAGTAATATACAACTTCCAGATATCATAGTCTTCAATCAGCAAAACTAGGGTTCATAAAGTTTGCGAAGAAAATTTTACAGCAATATCAAGAGGCAAATAATAAAGTTTAAGATAAACAAAGAAAAGGACCTTGGCTTGTTGAGGGTGTTGAATGCCCCAGAGGCACCGGCACTTACCCCGCTGCTCCCGAACCTCTTCACTTCATCAGAGTAATGAGCTGCAGAGGGCTGCTTCATGGTCACAATGTACACGGCAGCATCCTCTTGACAAAGACATCTCAGATAAAGACCCAATAGAGACAGCACCAATAAATGCACCGCCACAACTCCCTCCATTATTGGACCGTCAACGACCCCTCAACTCTCCAAATGCATTCCTGTCATCCAACCGTAGAGAAACAAAAATCGAACGCACTGGAGACGGAGAAACCCAAAACAATCAAAACTCAATCTTGAACTCTCCTCTTCACCTGCTCATGTAGCCCACAGCAGCGGAAGAAGAACAAAAATCCCGGGCTAATCTTCCATCAACCAAAACTCAATCTTGAACTCTCCTCTTCGCTTACTCATGTAAACCTTCAGGCACCTCCCAGGTTCACATTTCCATTAAGAGGAAGCGAGAAACGGAGCATAGAAGAGAGGAGCCAAGAATGCCTTTCAAAGGACCACTGCCGAGGAAATAAAAGGGAAAGCGGTGGAGAGAAAAGAGAGCATCTGAAGCTTTTTGCTCTTTTGCTTTGGGAGGGGGTGTGGAGGTGTGTGAAGCTTTTTATAATTGCAGCTTCGGTGGTATGCACTTGACTGTTGCTACTGCCACTGCTGCTGCCACCAAAGGAAAAGATATCAGAAAGAGCCAACAGCACAGCAAATCACAAGAAACGGGCTTTCACCAAAGAAAAAGCAAGAATAATGTCTTCAGAGAGAGAGAGAGAGAGAGATGTAAGATTCTTCCCAACGTTCCGATCTTTCCTCAGGGCGGTGGGCGTACACTGCTTGTAATTGCTTTTGATTCGTGGCGTCATCAAGATGAGGGTCTCTGCAATCGAATGGTGGTCATTGCAGTTGCCACCTGCGGAGGGCATCGCTCGGCAGTGGGTTCGATCAATCGACATGGCTCCGCTGATCTTTCACGAATTGGAGGAAACCTTAATTGGGAGTCGAAGAAAAGGTGAGGTGTGGGACCTTCGTAGGTCGTCAAGAACAAGCGACTCAGGTTGGGTTCAATCTTAAATCAGATTCGTCACAAAATCGATCATGTTCAATTCATGTAGCTCATCATCAATTCGATCGGATTCAGTTCAAATCAGAATGTATCTCGAATCATATCGATTCCAATACGATCCATTAATGATGAGAAGTCCATGATTGTACTTTGTACTTGACGAGTACTGCTACACCAATGAATCGATACAAGAAGGAACAGTGGAGAAGAAGAGGCACATATGTCCATTATATGTATATTAGGTTTGACGTGCCTAAAAGATTCTGGATGTCCTCCCTCTGTCCCACTGCTCATTGATGAGTCGGTGTACATGAGTTCCAACACGCTTGTTTGAATCCATGGGATGACACCCATCCAGAGATAAAGATGGGTTGATGAAGACGGAAGAACACTGATTTGGCTCGACTCGATCTGCAGGCGAGGAAAAAACCAAAGGCTCTTGCAGAACGATGCAGTAGTGTGTGGGCACTGACTGGAATAATGGGGATGATGGAGTGTTCAGCACTACTCCTCACGTGGATGTACGAAAGAAAGAGTTGGTGCTATGAAAAGAAGGAACAACAAAACCCAGCAATTGAGAAGAGAATACCCAGGGTGGGGTTGCACGTACTCTTCAGCTTCTTCTTCTCCCTAAAACATCCCATGATGCAAAATGGGGAAGAAAGATTAGTGCAGCTTTTCCTTTTGGGTTTTTTCGTCTTCCTCTTTTGCTTTTCTGTGAACAGCTTTTGGAGGATTCAGCGAAGTAGCCGTTGGAGATGATGGTCCACAGGAAGGCTGCGAGTGGCGTTGTTTGGTGAGAGCAGAGACTTCGTACCCGTGAGCTTGCTTGCAGTTTGATTAATGGAGAAGAGACAAACACCTTGTGTGCATGAGCACCGAAGAAGGCGACACGACACTGGCAATGTTCACCGATCGAGTTTGCTTTGCTCCCTCACCGAACGAAGCAGCTTCTCTTGTAGCACTGAGAAGGTCGTTAAAATGACAGAAAATACCATAAAATGTGAGCAAACCATTTATTTTGTATAATATAAATGAAAAGATGAGATTAATAAAAAAAAGAAGAAGAAAATTCTTCGTGCAACAATTTTTTCTATAGCCGATTCAAATTCAGTACACAATGCAGTGCAATATTACAGGTGATTTGCATGACAACAAATCAGATGTTCATAACAGCAACCACAAATAAGTACATAGAAATCTTATTGTCAGCAGTTGAGAATTCACAACATCACATTCACACATAATATGAAGCATACAGACATTGATGAAGCTGTCCTCGATGTCACAACAACCAAACCCACTCGAAGCAACCAGAACGGAGGTCTTGCTTCAGGCAGCCTCTTCCTCTTCTTCTTCCTCCACCTCGTACTCCTCAGCTGTCGCATCCTGGTACTGCTGGTACTCGGCGACCAAATCATTCATATTACTCTCTGCCTCAGTGAACTCCATCTCGTCCATCCCCTCACCGGTGTACCAGTGCAAGAAGGCCTTCCTCCTGAACATTAGCGTGAACTGTTCACTGACCCGGCTGAACATTTCCTGAATGGCGGTTGAGTTCCCAACAAAGGTCGATGCCATCTTCAGCCCTTTCGGTGGGATGTCGCACACGCTAGATTTGACATTGTTTGGTATCCACTCCACAAAGTAGGAGGAGTTTTTGTTTTGGACATTGATCATCTGTTCATCCACTTCTTTTGTGCTCATTTTTCCTCGGAACATGGCTGAAGCAGTGAGATAGCGCCCATGGCGTGGATCAGCAGCACACATCATGTTCTTAGCATCCCACATCTGCTGGGTCAGTTCCGGCACGGTGAGGGCATAATACTGCTGTGAGCCTCTTGAAGTCAAGGGTGCAAATCCAACCATGAAGAAATGGAGGCGGGGAAAAGGGATCAAGTTGACTGCCAGTTTCCGGAGGTCAGAGTTAAGCTGACCAGGGAATCTTAAGCAACATGTGACACCACTCATGGTGGCCGAGATAAGGTGATTCAGGTCACCAACTGTGGCAAAGATAAATATTAGAGTGCAAGGAGTAGCAATATGCGATATCTCATCAATGTAGGGCATGTGTTAAAGTAGGATGGACCAAGTGCGATGATATATAATGAAGAATAGTCAGATAATCTAGAAAAAAAAAATGAATCTCAAATGGTTGACCATCACATGGAATTTAAATCTTCAGGAGACTAGATGAAAAAAACAATAGAACTGGAGGAAATGTAGCAATGGATTAAACTTCGACTTACAGGTAGGTGTGGTGAGCTTGAGAGTGCGAAAACAGATGTCATAGAGAGCTTCATTGTCAAGGACCATACTTTCATCAGCGTTCTCAACAAGTTGATGAACTGAAAGAGTAGCATTGTATGGCTCTACTACTGTATCCGAGACCTTTGGTGATGGAAAGACGGAAAAGGTGAGCATCATGCGATCTGGATATTCCTCTCTGATCTTTGAGATAAGAAGAGTGCCCATGCCAGATCCAGTGCCACCTCCCAATGAATGGCATAGCTGGAATCCTGTGAATTTATGGGAGTAGAAACAGGTGAAATTCTATGGCAAGGAAATCCTGTTAGTTAGCCAATAGTTAGATCATGCTTGTAAGACAGACATTCAATACAAAAATGGAAACTGCACAATGAGCTCAAGAGATCTGGCAAGAGAATAATTGTTTGCTCTTACAGATAAATCAATGATATGCATTCAACGACAAAAATAATTGAAGAACAAAAGAACAAACATGAAAATATTTCATTAGGCATTTCCAAGTAATTAAGTGAAAGAAAATGCCTTATGTTTTTCCAAGCAAAGCTTTGATTTCTTTGAAGTACTTTAAGCATTCATTTTCCTTCTAAACAAATTGCAACATCGTCATAGCCTTGCTACCAATAGTAACAAATCTCAGCCATGATAAGAAATATGCCACAAATACTAATCTCTGAAGTAAGTAAGTAACCAATGTCTCTTATTATTTTCAGGAACTTGAGCGAAGACCAAGGGAAACCATGCTACATCAACTGCATTAGAACAAAAGTTTCCCTTTCAATCCCAATGGCCAGATAACTTGATTATTAAGAAAATAATTCCAAATAGAAGAACGGAACAAAGAAACTATCGATAAAGCAAAATTTGGTCATTTGGAGCTAGATTCATTTCAATACTTGATAGTAGCTGCAACAAAGAGAGTCTTGAACATTCAAATGATTGACCTTGATAATTGTCAATTCTCTTCTGTTGGATTTTTCTAGTAATCCCAACATGCAAAACCACTACCAGAACACCATCAACCCTTAGGAAGAAAAACAAACCATTACAAGCCCATAGAACGCTGAGTCTATAAATACAAAAAGCCATTGAATTCAAGTCTTTAACAACTCAAGGATGATAAATTGCAATCATATACTGGTTTCCGCCACAGCGCCCACAGCTAAAACTTGCAAACAGCTGCAATTGCAATAGACACACCCCCAAGTCCTTATAAAGATATTTCGTTTATCTTTCAGCAATTTCTCAACAAGTAAACAAGAAACAGGTGACATCTAGAAACGGAGTTGCACAATTTGTCCACGACAGAAGCACATAGAAACTTACCAAATATCAAACAAGAGAAGTTTAAGATAGGAGACACCTGAATCCTAAAATTTGATTTAGTGAACATAAATTGCTTAGTACAATTTAGATAATTGTGAGAGTAACACGATCGATACCACCACTGCAGAACAAAACATCTTCTTAAGGCCTTAAAATAGACCATTAATACTCAAAAACGCATCAGAGCACCTTTATGGTCTCAGATACTTCATTGTACCTTATGATTATATGAACAATAAATTAAAAGGAATCTGTTAAAACAAAAAACTGCAGCGAAGAAAATAGATGATCAACAATGAAAATAATTATATATCACCAATTACTGAATTGATATGTCATAAAAGAAAAGCATAATTTTTGTCTAATTACGACATAAAGTAAAAAAAAATGTTACTCGAAAATTTGAAGATAATTTTCTTTAGATAGCTAATTTCTCTCTACAAAATTCACTATTTAATCTTTCGTTCTCTTGAAAGATAATTCAACAATCAGGAGATGTAGAATTGAAGGAAAGAAACGAAGGACCTTGCAAGCAATCGCACTTCTCGACCTCGGAGCGGACGACGTCGAGCACAGCGTCGACGAGTTCGGCACCCTCGGTATAGTGGCCCTTTGCCCAGTTGTTTCCGGCGCCGGACTGGCCGTAGATGAAGTTGTCGGGGCGGAAGATGCGACCGAAGGGCCCGGAGCGGACGGCGTCCATGGTGCCGGGCTCGAGGTCAACCAGGACGGCCCGCGGCACGTACCGAGCACCGACGGCCTCGTTGAAGTAGACGCTGATGCGCTCGAGCTGGAGGTCGGAGTCACCGGCGTACGCCCCGGTGGCGTCGATCGCGTGTTCATCACAGATCACCTCCCAGAACTTGGCGCCGATCTGGTTTCCGCACTGCCCCGCCTGGATGTGGAGGATCTCCCTCATCTTCACGAGGTCGAGGCGACGGCAGCGGCGGTGGCGTGGACGAGGAAGAAGAGGAGAAGCGGAGGAGGTCGGAGGCAGGTGGAATCGTGGACTGGTGGCTTTTCTTGCAATCCAAATGGCACGCCTTGTACTGTACGAATCCCAAATTGCAATTTAATCCCTGAAACATTCGTATTTCGTCCACTGCCCGAAAGCAATTGTGACTGCTTGGTTGATAATTTTTCAAAAAGCCCCCTTAATTTTAGTTAATTCTTCGGAACGCATACTAAAATGTCATTTGACCAATTACAATATTGGATTTAAGGCCAAGAAAATTTATGTGTATTGATAGTCTCTGTTGGACCACAAAGAATAGAACGTCACGTGGGTTGTTATCTGAAGTGTCAACACTGCATTAACAAAGAATTTGGACTTCGCGAAGGGCGGAAATGTAAAAGGCATGGGTTGTAGGTACGCGGACTCGGCTTCCAGATTCGTGCGAGCTGATGAGACGTTCTAGACCGTTGATAAAGCGAGCTCGTGGGTGGGGGGACCGTGATGGGGCTACGACCGGTGGAGCTCCGACAAAGATGCACCGCCAAGATGAGGTGGGCAAGCCATTTGGGTTTTGGATCATGCAGCCACCCGCCTCGGGCAGACAGCGGAATATTCCAGCCGTCTTATCGGATGGGTATGGAACAGCTACAGTGAGAAGGACGGCTATTGATTGGGCGACGGACGACAATTTCTTGACCCAACTCAACAACTTGGTTGGGGCGGTATTCTTTCTACAGTGGATTTTGTGTCCGGAAAGGATTGGCATGCTTGATCATTTGGTTGGATGATCAATGCTTTTTGGGTCGGATTACAGAATGGTTCAGCTAAATTCGTTCGATCAAATTGGGAATCGGGTTTAGCGTTTCTCTCTCTTGGATTAGATTTTATTCGATTGGATCCAAATTTTTGTACATGATTAGATCGTCTTAGGATATAGATCCATTTATATAAAATTAAGTGAAGAAGAATTTTAAGAATAAGATCGAAATATGTGGAAGTTGTTGTTGTCTTGATGCCATCAATCAGGGATCAACATGGCTCGGTCTTGTCCCGAAGATGCAAAGTCATTCCCATGTCCCTCATGGCAGACGGGTGAGGAGGTCGCAATGAGGAATAAGTTAGTCGAGGTGGATCCGAGATGATCGTTGTGCATCCAATGTGAGCTCTAATCTCCTCGAAACCCTATACAAAGGTCGATATTCAAGAAATTTTCTAATCTGACTCCTTCGATAATCAAGTTAGCCTTTTTGTAAGGTAATGAAAATAGGAGGGCTTAGAGTGTGAGGAATCCAACCCTTGTTCAAGTATCAAGGATTGGTTCTTATACCTGAGAAGCTAGGGGGCCATGGTTAACAGGCGATTGATTCGTATATCCTTCCTTTACAACCATCTATGTGGACAACTAATCTATATTGCTGGAAAATCATGGGTCGGTATCTCATGCGTAGCGAAAAATAAAAACAAAATCAGATTTCCCAATATTAAGTACTTGGTCGTTGTGCGATGATTGGTGCGCGAGAAAATCGTAAAACCGAAAAGTGCACGTATCATGTTAGAAGTGTTACTTAGAGAGATCGTATATCCCTAAAATTTTTAGATTCGATGGAGTGGATGAAGGAGAACTTGCATACTCCTCTCTAGTAGTGATCCACATAATAGACGTAGCGATGACACTCTTCATATCACTGTGGGATCTCACTCTCCTCGTGCACCACAAGGCTACTAAAGCTAAGGAGGAAGAGAGAAGGCTGAGGAGAATAGGAGGGGTGACAATCAGAAGTTAATAGTCTATGAGCCATGAGGTATCTCCTATTTATATAGGTGTAAGCAACTTAACCCTTAATGAATCCTATCCTTGTTGGGTATCTATCCAATTAGATCTTTATTCAATTATTCAATTGGATTTTATCTATAGGATCCAAACTAAAGATTTCGCGGATATCTCATATCTGCACCTTTACTTGTCACAACATCCATCATGACAAGTGTTCTAGCATAGGTCAATCTTCCCGACTCACATGTCTCGAGCACCTTGGCCCGATACTTTTGATAGGTGTTCTAGCATAGGTCAATCTTCTCGACTCTCACGCCATGGATACATTGGCTCAATGCTTTCACTGTGGTGGGTGTTCTAGTGTGGGTTGATCTTCCCAACTCATATGCCTCGAGCACGTTGGTCCGATGCTTCCGTCGTGGTGGGTGTTCTGGTATGGATCGATCTTCCCAGTTCACACGTTTCGGGCATATTGACCCGATACTTCTGTTGATGTTTTGCCATGAGTCGATCCTCCTGACCCTACACCTCGAGCATATTGGCCCGAAAATTCCATCGTAGTAGATCTCAGGCTTCCGTTGTAATAGGCCTTTGTCCCTTCACCGTGGTGGATTTCGAGTCCCTACCGTAGCAGGTCTTCATCTCTTTTTCCACCATGGTGGATCCCGGGCTTCCATCGTAGCGGACATTTATCTTTCTTTTACCATGGTGGATTTCGGGTTCATGTCGTGGCGGGTCTTTATCCCTTTTCCACTGTGATGGATCTCGTGCTTCCGTCGTAATGGATTTTCGTTCCTTTTCCATCATAGTGGATTTTGAGTCCCCATCGTCATGGCGGGTCATGGTCCCTTTTCCATGGTGGTGGATCTCGAGTTTTTGTCATAGCGAGCCTTCATCCCTTTTCTACCATAATAGATTTTGAGTCTCCATCGTGGTACGTCCTCGTCCTTTTTCCATTGTGGTGGATTTTAGATATTCGTTATGATATGTTTTCATCCTTTTTCTATCGTGATTGGTCTCGGAACGAGGTTGGTCTCAGGTTTCCGTCATAGTGGATCTTCGTTTCTCTCCCACGCAAACATAAAAAATACTATAAACTAAATAAAAATATAACACTTTCAAAGAATGAAAAAAAAAAAAAGGAAGATCGGTTACCTCAACCGCTATCCTAACTAGCTGTTGCATGATTTCATCGAGGGAACACACCATATCACAGCTCCAAACCAGAGAGGGGAGAAGAGAGTAGAGTGAAAACGGGGAAAGTTGATCGTTTTTTAAAGCAAAAGATTGTGAAGAAATGAGCTGAACACTAAATAGTGGTTTTTACGAAACGACTAACATTAGATCAAACCGATCTATCCTTACTCTCTCCCAAAATCGACAAAAAGAACTTGCTTCATCTTTTGTAGGACATCTCTGATATTTTTGGAAAGAGGAGTCATCGATTGGAAACAATCAAATGGATAGTGATAAAAAAAATCCAAAAAAGCAGATTTTTTTTTCGAACAATCACCTCTCTCTCTCTCTCTCTCTCTCTCTCTCTATATATATATATATATAGAGAGAGAGAGAGAGAGAG